AGATATTTGGAAAGCAAGCTGATAAATTGCAGAATGCTTTGTGTGAAGTAATCAAAATACTATTAAATGGTTAAATGGTTCCAGCTGCTTGCAACTAGATGTGGGATGGTACTGTCAATGAGTCTGGTAGAGCTGAAAACGCATGCTAGAAATTACAAATAATTTGCAATCGATCAGCCTCTAGAGTCAGCATATTTGTTATTTATTGGCATTTAAACAGCTTTTATTTACAGACTTTGCCCTTATTTGACTGTGGTGTTGTCTCAGTCGACTACAGCAATCCAAAGATGCAGAAAACAGCAGCTGGAGCTTCTAACAGATGTACACAATGGCCAAATCCAGCCTTTTTAGGCAAACTATCATCTCTTCATGAAAGAACAAATGTAAACTGGTAAGGACCATTGCTTCTCCTGCTGCTTCAACAGACCTAGTGCAATTTTACCACCCCTTGCTGACCAAATGGGGATTTTGGTTGCTTTCATAACAAACACTGAGACATCGTGGATTTCAGTGTGTGCAAAGACTTTGCCCCCTGAGGCCAAGGTCCCAGAGCCCAAAGGCACACTGTGCTGGATGGGATGTCTCAGCAAGAACACAGGGCCCAAACCCTAGAATCAATTTCCATTGTATTCGTGTCTCATCCTAAGCATGTTGCTTAGAAATACACCCAAGTGCCAGCATGAGGTCCTGCTTTAGGACCAGACCAAACTCCACAGAATTGAATTCCGCTCTCTGAAAATCAGTTAAAATCTGTTCATGTCCCTTCTGACACCAACCAGTGCAGATGAACTGTAGTCACTGCTCTCTTTTCTGGTACACGTGTGTTTGTCAGTTGTATACAAAAATGCAATTATCTCCAAAGTTAACAGATGGCACAATACTATAATCCCCTTCACCCCATCCAGTCCTCTCAAGAGAACTGTTCAGAGGGGAGCACAATTAGTATACATGGAGAATTTCTACCATCTCCTAATACAAAAACAGTCATACAACATTGTATATCCTATGGCATGCAAAGGTACAAGGCTACCAGATCATAATGTGCAGAGCCATTTACACAGTATTTCCACTGATACCTAGATGTTTTTAATCTGAGGAAGGCTGGTGGCGTCATGAAGACACTGAACAGAGCTAGCTAGGCAGTTAGGGAACACAAGCAAGTCATTTAGTTCATCTCAACATCAACCTGTCTTCACTTTAGTGACTGCAAAGCTCTGATACCTGGGACGGTCACTCCCTAGCAAGTTCCACTGGGCATGCTAATAATGGGCAGCTCCTCACATCTGAAATGATGGATGAATCACCAAACTGCAAGCACTTAAATTCTCTTCCTAACAACCACAAGATTTTTGTTCTCATCTATTACACTAGATGCTGATCTCAGAGCATCTGATCTAAGCGTATTTATAGCAGACATTTTCCCAAACGACGACAAGATCGTGAAGGAACCAACAGATTCCAGAACAGGGAAAAAATGTTTCAAACCTTTACTCCTTGCTCCACATTTATATTTTTTTCTCCCATGGTTGATTCACTACAAATATCTGTGAAGGGAGGCACCACGTCTAGGATGGTGTCTGCCCAATGTGACATACCCAGCGTAAGAGTATAACCCAGAGCCACATCAAGCAGGTAAGGGGACACCATACGAGGGTACCCAAGAGGGTGCACCCATAGTACAGAGCTGCAGCCTGGGGGACATAAGTGCTCCCTGCTCACCACCCAGGCACTCAGCCTCACCTGGCACCCAGGAAAATGCAGCACTGTTCTGGAAATGCATGAGTTAAAACTCTGTGGCAGGAGTAAGGAGAAATGCTAATGAATGATTCAGTAGCTGGTTGCCCAAATCCATGTGAAAGAGGCAAGGTTTGACTCTTTTTCACATGGGTGTTCATGCTACTTGTCATTGCAGGTCATGCTGGGGAGAGGTTGTGGCTCTAAAAAGACATAATAAACGCACCACTCAGGCCTCTTTTGCAAAGATGTTAATGAGACACATAAATGTTGCGGAATGGTTTGTAGAAGAATATGACTTTAATTCTTCATAATACCAGACACAGTAATGGCCAGACATCAGGGGAGACAACATTTACACTGATATGCCTGTAATCAGGCTAACGATTTGTACTTTACTAAAACATATCTGCCACGAAGTCATTTGGCTTGAAAACATCAAAGAGTTTTCCAACTCATCAGTATTTGTTCAAGTGAATAATCAGCCTCACCCTTAATATCATGCCTGATTGTTGTTTTGCCTGGTTTTTGCTTCCAGACAGGGTTTTTGTTCTACCTTCCTCTGCTGCAGCAAAGAGACTTCTCAGGGATTTTTCTGTCTGTGGGGGGTATTTGCACACTGTTGCCAAATCATCGAGCAATCCGTTGCCCATGCAAGGTTTGTTCTCAAGTTTTACAAAAGGTTTTCTTTCTTTTCTTTGCTGTTTAATCATTTTCACACTGTGGGTGGCAGAGATGTCTCTCCTATTGCCTGGGCTGCACAAGGAGGTGAAGTCCTTGACCCGCGGCTAGTCACTGCTTCCCGCTGACTCTTTCCTTCATGCCACCACATCTCAGTGGGAAACCAGACTTCATTGCTCATCCACTCCAACACCTTTTCCACGGAGGTGTTATGGCTGAGGTGCCTCCCGGCACCACCAGCATGATCTTAGATGATTTTTTTTTGTTATGCTGCACTGTATCTGCTTGGGGCCAGTTCATCAGGCAAACCAGATCACGTTGCATGCTTGGTGAAGCGGGAAATAGCAATGACAGACAATCTTTGTGCCATCTGCCACGGTTATTAGCAAATGATGTTTTATTTATCTCCAGATCAGCCATGAAGACACTGACTCCCATTAGAAACATGTTCAATGACAAGTTCTCATCTTCTGAGATCTATAGGTTAATGGATGAAGAACCAAAAGCCTGCTGTTAACGTGCACAGGGTGATGCTTACAAAACACTACAACGTCTACGTACCCACAGTTACCAGCCATGCTGGAAATACTGTTGATGGAAAGAGTTCATTTGGGAATACCTGCTCCCATCGAGCCATGTTCACTGGCTACTAATTAATTACACTGACACCTTGAAATTCCATATGTGAGCAATTCCATATTGACCAGTCTGGGAATGAGCCTGCAGTGACCCACACAGATTCACAAAGAACTTGAGTTTCCTGTTCACAGGAA